TCATACTATAATGTAATGTTATAATGAATTAAGTAATCATACTATAAATCTTTAATGTAATATTATAATTAATTAAATTTTTAATCGTTTAATTAAGTATTGTACTAATGTTTATAATGGAATGTTATAATTAATTAAGTAATCATTTAACTATAATGTAATGTTATAATTGATTAAGTAATCATTTAACTAGTAATGTATTAATGTTTATCAATTTATTTTATATAATTAATTAATTACTAATTTATTACATATATACTTAAAACTTAATAATTGAAGTAAATAAATAAATATTATATTATTATTTAATCAAATATATTCTTCTATTAAAAAATAATTCTTTTAATAACATTAAAATACTTTTAATTTGTTTTAATTCCAATTATATACTTAATTAATCAAAACTTTAATATTAATATATTATAATATATTAAAGTTTTTTATATTGTGTAGTTTATATGTAATAAGTATAATTGTATATTTATTTAATTAGGTTATTTAAAAATATAACTTTTTCCATTTTAATTTTTTTATATGTAAAATTATTAGACCCCCCATTCTTCACAGATATTTCATTTCAGGCTAAGTTCCAAAACAAGTTCCAAAACAGGGTACCTGCTGCAGGTTCCAAGCCAGGTACCCGTTACAAGTTCTTTTTCTAGGTTCCTCCACATGTAGGAACTGGAACCGGAATCGGAACTGCATAGTATCGGTTCCAAAAAAATGGAATCAGAACCTACCCACACAGTGTCAGTTCCGGGTAGGTTCTGGTTCCTGTTTCGATTCTACCTGTTACCTGTGCTCACCCCTAGATATAAGGTCAGGTTGGTGGCCAAAGGTTTTACACAACAAGCTGGAATCGACTATGATGAGACATTCTCTCCTGTTGTGAAGATGGTGATTGTAAGGCTGATTTTGGCCATTGCTTCTATGAAAAACTGGCCATTATTTCACCTAGACGTTCACAACGCATTCCTCCAAGGAGACCTTCAAGAGGACATTTACATGCATATACCACAAGGCTTCTCCAATCCTTATAATAATCCTTAGTGTGCAAACTCCATAAGTCATTGTATGGCTTGAAGCAAGCTTCCAAGGCCTGGAACACTAAGCTCACCAATGCCTTATTGTTTGATGGTTTCCATCAATCTCTGGCAGATCATTCCTTCTTTTTTAAGAGACATAACAGTCAGATTGTACTCCTTCTTGTGTATGTTGATGACCTAGTCATCACTGGCAGTGACAGTGTGTTGATTGCGGAAACTAAGGCTCTCCTGCATTCTTACTTTAAACTTAAAGATTTAGGTTCTCTAAGATACTTTTTAGGCTTTGAGGTTGCTCGCTCTTCTAAGGGGATTTACCTTTGTAAACGGAAATATGCTTTGGAGTTAATTGTAGACTCTGGATTAGCTGCTGCCAAACCAGTTTCTGTCCCTCTTAATCCACAGTTCAAGTTCACTACTGTGGACTTTGATAAAGCCTTCCCAGCAACACAAGTTTCACCTCAGCAAGATTTACCATTGGATGATCCTACAGTCTATCAAAGATTGGTTGGCAAGTTACTCTACTTGTGTCTCACACGTCCATATATTAGTTTTGGTGTAAACTTACTTAGCCAATTCATGCATAAGCCTAAGCACTCTTATCTTCATGCTGCCTTGCGCATTGTCAAATATGTAAAAGGTTCTCCAGGCTTGGGGCTATTATTTCCTGCTCATGGTTCCTTTCATCTTAAAGCATTTTGTGATTCTGATTAGGCATCTTGCTTCATGACTTGCAAATCAGTCACTGGCTTTTGCATCTTCTTGGGGGATTCTTTGATATCTTGGAAATCAAAACGTCAAGCTACAGTTTCTAAGTCCTCTTCTAAAGTTGAGTACCGAGCTATGGCATCCACTGTTTGTGAGCTGATTTGGCTTACTCAACTTCTTCGTGTTCTAGCTTTTCAACTCAACTACCTATCCCTCTCGACTGTGACAATAAGTTTGCCCTCCAAATTGCTTACAACCCTATCTTCCATGAACAAACTAAACACATCAACATCGACTATCATATAGTTCGTAACAAACTTAAAGAAAGCCTAGTGCAACCTGTTCATGTCCCCACTAAGGATCAGCAGTCGATTTGTTCACTAAATCAGCTTCCTCCGCTCTTCATCATCATTTGCTATCCAAGTTGGGGGTGCTTGACATTTATCACCCATCAACTTGAGGGGGGATATTGGCTTATTAGTATAATCAGTTTTAGTTAGTTAATTAATCAATTAGTTAGTTAGTCAATTAGTTAAATAGTTAGTTAGTTGTTGTGGTTAATTAACTATGGTTAGCCAACCATGGTTACTTGTATATATAAACTGTAATAAACGTCTTATATAATTTTTCAAGCTGAATAAAATTTCTATTCTCTCAAATACAAATTGTTCATTAAATATATGGGTCAGATGATGAGAAGAAGAGAAATATAATAAAGAAGGGCATGCATTCCACGAGGACAGGTTTGAGCGTAAGATTTATCACGACAAAGACACAAATAGCTCCATATATGTTTGACTGATTAGGCAAAAATAGCTCCATATATGTTTGACTGATTAGATCTGCATATCCCACGGGAAGATTGACATTCGGAACAGAGTACGTTCTCTGCCTGATACTTTACATCAAACCCCAGATCTAAAGCCTCTCTCAACCATTCTCCTTTTTGACGCTGTCCAATCCAATCAGAAGTAGTCAATGGAATGGGGACTTTAATAACCTCACTACATGTGTTGGTAAGATTTAGAAAGTCGTCTGGCTCCTCTTCAACTGTGTAAAAACCTATCCTCTCTTCACTTCCTAGTTTGACAACTATAATTATTTGTACCCGGTGGCGATTCGATAGTGCAACAATAGAATAAACTGAGGTCCGAACGTTTGGACTGTAATTGAAAAGAAGCTGGTTGAAAGTGGTGCACTCCGGGCTACCAAAACAATCACTGTCCGCATAATTAATATCATTTTTTGCTATTGTCATTGTTTGATTAGGTTTATTGATGCCTAAACCTCGAAAAGGCTGAGTTTCAACCGTTGCAGATTCGATTATAGGATGCAGACTGTCTTGACAATGGAGCTCGAATTCTTGTCGACCACAACGGAGAGGCATGTCTTTCCCCCACAAAGGATACGATACATTCATTAAAATCGGCCCACATGAGAAAGGGCAACTGCATGACAAGTACTGATCATCTTCACCAGAGTAATGTGTTGGGATTGTGGCAAAGATGCAGAAGATAGTTAAAATGAAGTGTAGGAAGAGATGGTTGTTCATTTTTTGGAAGGTGCATTGAGAGATAAGAGAAATGGAAAAATATGGTTCATTATTAAATTCTGATAAGGGGAAGTAATAGTACTGAACCATCGAAGGCAAGTTCCTAGCCCCTTTCAAAGACTTTTGACTTGTTCAAATCAGTAGACTCACCGATCTTCTGTGAGAATTATTAATTATTAGCGGGTCGTAGAAGTTACAACAATAAAGAAGAGAAAATTTAGAAGTTGCAAATGTAACAGTAGCAACCCACAGCCCAAATATATGACTAATTCAAGAGTGGCATATTTGCATACCGGAAGGACATGTTCGCGTGTGACGGTGTGAGGTTTATCACGGCAAAGGAACACAAATGGCTCTGAATTTGACAAATCAGATCCACATATTTCTTTAGAATCAACACATATGCAGAACATGATTCTCTTTCTGCATAATACCGCACTCCAAAACTCAGACTTAATGCGTCTTTCAAGAGTCTGGCCTCAAGATGATCGTAATTGGAGTCAATGACATGGAGATTTTTGTAACATTTTTACATGTTTTGTTAAGATTTTCAAGACTAATTTCGTCAATTTCGTTTACTGTGTAAAAGCCTTTCCACTCTTTACTTTATTGATCACAGCTATATTTTCTATATGGGTTATCTGCCCTGGAGAGGACACATAGATGCAATTAAAGAAGAAGCTGAGGTTTCGAACGTCTTGACCGGACATAAAGAGAGTTTGGTCGAAAGTGAATTCCGGAAATACTTCTGAACAAGAACCATCTAGGAATTTAGCATCTCGAAAGACGGTCATTATTAGATGGGGACAATCAATTTCTGAAACTTTAAACTCTTGAGATCCAAATTGTATGGTGGTATGCTGATCTTCCTGACATTTGAGCTCGAGCCATGGATCATGACAGCAATTTTGAGTCCTATTCTGACCTCAGAAAGGATTAAGGCTTACTGCATTCCACGTATTGCTCATCATCATCGCACTAAGATGTAGGGATGACGATCAAGATATAGAAGATATTGAAGATGAACTGAAGAAAGTGGTGGTTCATTTTGTGCACGGGCATGGAGATTGATTAGAGTGAGCATGATATTAGATACGAGTTTTGTGATCTTAAATTCTCAGTTCTAGTAAAAAAAAAAAAAAAAAAAAGGGAGAATTACACATACCTAGGTATATTGGTATGTTGGCCCGTTGATCAATGGGGCGTCAATTAGCCACTTATTCATACTCTAGTCAAATCATATATTCTAAACAATTCATCCTATTTCACTACATTTTGAAATACATGGAAGAAGAAAATGATATAGCGCACATTATGAGTTATATGCTATGAATCGAATGGCAATTATCGTTTACGTCTATTCTGACATAGGAGGTATATATGTATTTCATTTACTTTTATTTTAACATTGTCGGTATCACTATTTACCATTAAACATCCCACCAGAAATTGAACAAAACAATTCCAAAGAGACCGTGTAGTATTGTGAAACTGTGGAAGGGCTTCTCCTAGTATTTTGTTGAAAATAATGTTTAGCCAACTACCAAACAAATTTCAAGGTACTTGCAACACAACTTTATTGTTTCAAGTTTGAAACAACTTTGTTAGTTACAGTACTGGTGAAAGAAACAGTAGTTATCTCTCTCTTTCGCATGTGAAAATAGATAATTGTGTCAATATATACAAGCCACCACAAAATAGTTAAATTCGGTCATGGAAATAATTACTAATTTCTGTTAGGACATGGATGTGGTTGAAGAATATATCTGTAGTCTTGAAGGAGAAGAAAAGAAAGGCTCCGGTGGAATATGCAAGGCTTCAACGCTCCCTTGCAACATTTATGCTACCTTGTTCATGGATGGCCTATCTAATGGGCGAATTTGTATGCACCACAAACCTACAATAATCATCTTCTTTGCAATTTCATTTTCCTCGCTGCTATTCACACCATGCCATTTTAATTCTTTGTCTTGCTCAACATGCTTGTAAATCCAATGTGGAAAATATTTTTCACTAGTATTAAACTCTCTAACATCTTTATTTTCTCTTCCTCCAACCACCTCTAGAATAATCATTCCGTAGCTGTAGACATTAGACTTAGGTGAAACTTCTCCAAAGTTTCTACTAAATACTTCTGGAGCAATATACCCAATTGTTCCTTTAGCCTCCAACATCGATACGATACTCTCCTTTTTAAAGCATAGTTTCGCAAGACCAAAATCGGAGATCTTGGGACAAAATCCTTCATCAAGAAGGATATTATGAGGTTTTATATCAAAATGCAAAATCCTTGTGTTGCAACCACGATGCAAGTACTCTAGCCCTCTAGCAACTCCAACTGCAATTTTGTACATTTTTTCCCATCCTAATTATTGACCAGCCTTAAGATTATGCTCATTGTATATGAACTTCTTAAGTGATCCATTGGGCATGAATTTATAGATAAGAGCTCTCTTGTCACCCTCTAAACAAAATCCCAATAGTGTGACAACATTATTATGAGATGTTCTACTAATGCTTGCAACTTCGTTGATGAATTCTTGGCCATTCCCTTCGGATGTATTTAGGAGCTTCACTGCTACAACGATGGCCATCCAATAACTTGCCTTTGTAGACACCACCATAACCTCCCTGGCCTAGTTTTTGTTTGAATGAGTTGGTCATCTTCTTAATGTCTGAAAAGTTGAACCTTTTGGGAACTAGAGTTCCATAGTCTCTTATGAAGGCCTCAATATCTTGATCGTTCTTTGTTAGATTCCTTAAAAGGGATTTTGGCATAAAAGATGAGATTTTGTTCCTTCTGCATAAGCAGATAATTACACAGATGATGGTTATTGCGATTATTGCAAGAGCAGTGCCTGTCAAAAGAAATTAGTTCCGAGTCAGTCTAGTAGGAACATAGAAAAGGCAAGCAAAGTCTGATGAAATTTTGATATTTTGAACAGTAAAAACAATAGATAAATTTTGATCCTTCTTTGTGAGATTTCTTAAAAGGGATTTGGACATAATTGATGATATTTTCTTCCTTCTATCTAAGCAAATAATTGTACGAAGTGAAGTGACTGTTATTCAAGGCCGTCACAAGAAATAAGTGATGAATCAGGTGGTAAAAAAAAAGATTTTTACTGCCAGTGTCTTTTAGAACATGTTTTCCGTAAAAGATTTTATATTTGAATAAGTAATGTTACACCCCACAATATTTCTCACAAACTTTCTCTTACAATCTTGATTTGATAGTTTGTAATTAGTCAACTGTAATTTATCAAGTAGGACTCATTGGAAACTGACCAATTACGAGCTGTCACATTGAGATTGTAAAGGAATGTTTGTGAGAAAAGATAGTAAAGTTAGCATTTTCCTATTTGAATAGGAAACTATAGACATAAAAATAAAAGTAATATGAGGAGATATATTACCTATACCAATCTTCAATCCGTTGGTAAATATTCTTGCAGTCCCTGTATCATGCAAGGTAATGGCATAGTTAGAACTTTACAAAATCTATATAAAAAACTTCTTGTGTAACATGTATATAACTTTGCAATTGTAATAATGTGCTTTAATAACAAGTCAGAATTTACAAAATCATATAGAACAGGGGAAATAAAAAATTAACAGTAAAGCCTCGTTTGGATTGAGGGATTAACCTACATGCAAATTGTAAGTTTGAACTTAAGACTTAAAACAAGTGAATCTGATTTTGGTTTGGTCGATAGTAAAAAATTAAACAAATCGAAGAACTAGGAAAATTTTGATCACATGCTTTAAGATAATGTCTATGTTGGCGAAAACAAATGAATACATTATCTTTTTTTTTTTTTTTTTTAATAACTGGGTGTCTAAGCCAGTTTGTGCGTTATCTCAATTAATCCCTAAATCCATTGAATACTCAATAACTCAATGTTCTAAGGTAAATCATAAATGTATATGATAGATGGCATCAAGGTTCGAACCCAGTAAGTTAATGAAGGAGCAAACTTTTTTGACCGTCAGACTACCCTTTAGGGTTACGAATTCATTATCATGATACCCAAAACATAAACCATTTGCATAAATAATATTTAATATCGAGAAAAGGAAGTTTGGACACACACACCGACATCATACATATATATATCCTGAATCCAAATAAAGACTCTGCCTTCTAGAAGCGGACCTTATAATCTAATTACGTAAACAAGAGATTATTTTTGTTTTATGTAAGAAAGGGACATACTTAAGAATTTTCCCGGATAGCTAAGAAAGATGTCATCAAAACACTAACCTCTTTGCTCATGATAATGTATTCATGTTTTGACTCGTTTATTAAAACTCACTGCTCAGAGTCTAATGCCACTAAATGTTTCTCCTAAAAACAACTTTAGTCTGAGTAAATGGTTGTTTCTTCCCTTCTGTAACCAACAAAAGAAGACAAAATGACTTAAATGTATATGCCTAAGTGAAACCAATGACCAGAAAGTATGGAGTAATGAAAAAAAAATTGCTAAGAAGATGAGCATACCAGGATAGGTTTGATCGTGAGGTCGATCAGGCAAAGCATAGAAAAGGAGTGGAATTTGACGAATTTGATCCGCATACCCCTTGAGAATTCATACATGAAGAACATGATTCACTGTCTGCATTGTACTTCACATTAACATCTTCATTTAAGGCCTCTTCCAGTTGTCCGCTACAAGACGATTCTCGTCTAGATCATTTAATACAATTGGGACTCTGATAACCTTGCTACAATTGTTGCTAAGATTCTCAGTAGCTTCCTTCCCTCAATGTGTAAACCCTGTTCTCACTTCATTTCCATCTACATGACAAGTGATCAACTTATTCTCATCTGATTGCGATAGATTTCCACTGCAATCATAGAACAAGCTGAGGTTCCTAACTTCTTGACCGTACTGAAGAGTGTTTCGTTGAAAGAAATCATTTCCCAATAACTGAGAGCAAGAAGAGGGGAAAAGAACTTTCGAAAGATGGTCATTAGTTGAAGTTTACGATTGATTCTTGAAACATTGAATCCTTTGAATCCAGAACGTAAGGTTGGGAACTGATTATCTTGACAGCCGAGCTGAATCCTTTACGACCGCAATACGGAGACCCATCGTCTCCCCAGAAAGGATAATCTATCGCCTATGACTCCACAGAATACGGAGTTCTGCAAGTCAAGTACCGATCATCATCCGCAGAGAACACAAAGGGATGGCGATCAAGATACAGAAGGCTGTGATGATGAAGTGAAGAATGAGAGACTGAAAACATTGCCTCATTTTGTGAAAGTTCATGGAAAGATGGATTAGGAGGAGTATCAATATTTCAATGAGTTGGTTCTTGCGTAATGAAGTTGCTAGTTTAATTTGTTTTAATCAAAAATGGAACATCCACTAAAATTTCAGGGAGAGAGAAAAGAGAGATTACTGTTGACTTTATTGACCTGGGCCTTTTTTATTTTAAACGATAAAAATCAAGCTCTAAGACACGTATAATTACCATTTAGAAGGGAGATAAATTGATATATATATAAATAGGAAGAGATATAAATGATAAATTATTACATCATGATATGAAAAATAATTAAAATAATTATATAAATGAAAACTGTTAAAATTTAAATGAGAGAAAATCACTCACCACCCTTGATCTTTCGAAAAGATCACTAGTTTAGCAATTTTAATCAAACTCGTTCATAACTATTTAAAATATATCATTAACGACCCTAAACCCTAATCCATCAAACTTCATTCGTCTTCAAAGGGGTAACTTAGTCTTTTCATTTTGATCGACAATTTTAACAATGGTTGATGTTGATATCCCGCGCATTCAAGTCTACTAGTTTATAAGAGAGGGTATTCCTCCTATTCAACAAAGTCTTATTGGGTGAGGAGTCACCCACCTCAAAATTCTATCATAGTACCAAAGTTGTGTCCAATTGAGCTAAGTGTTTGACCAGTCAGTGAGGAGTTAAGCCAATATTACCTTCATCAACAGGTATGACCTACACTATGAGCTTGACTAGGAAGGGAATAGTTAGATTCTCACACCAGCTAAGCACGTTCAAGTCTACTGTTTATAAAAGTGAATCATTCTATTCAAAAAGACTTTATTGGGTGAGAAGTTAGATCCACCTCAAATTCTATAATCAAGTCACACAAACCAAATAAACACTAAAGAAGCAAATCCAAGTCCAACAACCCAGCAATGGATTTGAGAAAACTGGAGCTAAATTTTGCGATGAGTTGGGGTTTGGTTCTTTGGTGTTGTTCCATGTGGATCTGCGATAGGTGGGAGGGGATGGGCGTGCGGATTTGTTCATTAGGGTGGGTGTGCTTCAAGTAGAACAGTGCGGCCCAACGACATTTAAGGCCTAAAGCAAAACCTTGTACTAGGCCTTTCATGCTTAACAAAGAAATTATTCATGTTTTTAATATTGTTAAATTTTATATTTAAAACATACTTTCTTGTAAATATATTTAATATAAAGTTAATTACGAACTAAATTGTATTGACTAAAAATACAATAAAATAAAAATATTTATTTTATTATTGAGTAAACGACTTTTTCCACTCAAAAAGTTTCAAAATACCACTTTTATCGAAAGTTAATATTAGTTACTACTCAAGGCCGATTCCGATCATTCAGGCAATGAAAATTTTCACTGTCACCACCATTTAAACCTCGTTCCTCTCTCTACAAAATTTTTTACTTTAGTTCCTGATAACTCGCTAAACTCGCCTGAGAATGAAGTATATTTTGGGTATTAACGAAATATAAACATTGGTGGGAAAGTGGTATTTTGAACTTTTTGTATGAGAGTGTCATTAAGGCAAACCTTGGGTGGGAAAAAGTCGTGTACTCTTATCATTAATGATATCAATTTAAAATTATATAAAAATAAAATTATACAATAATACAACGTGAATATGGATGAAACTTTTGCATCAAAGATTTAAATTAATCGCTATCATGTCTCTTCTTGAACAAAATGACAGAATTGCAAGAAATATTATGAACTTACAATTCAAAAAGATCAAGTTTCTACTTCGTAGAGAGGAACAATATCAAAATTCGACTTTGAAATGATAGGCATATTAATAGTTTGATAATATATTGGTATTTTTCAATGAGTTTTCAAAGATGTTAAAGTCATTTATTCATTAATGGTAAGAGATAATAATAATAATTTGATGATAATTTGCACAAATTTATCTACGTAAGTGTAATGAGTTAGAGTTTGGTGGTTAGTGATGTGTTTTTAATAGTTCTATGGTGAGTTTGATTAATTTTCTAAAGTCCCCGTCTAAAAATCCTTTTTAAAAGTCCTGGTAAGTGATTTTCTCTCAAATTTAAATTAACGATCCATCTCTTTTATGATACCATATATGGGTTTTGATTCCTTAAATGTATTTACAAGGATGTGATATGTTATTAATGTTTTAACTTTGAGGCGGCAATTAATAAAATATTATATATCTTATATATTCATATCATTATACAAAGAGTAATTTTTTAGTCAGGACATCTTATATTAATCATATCAAGACTATGATGAATCACCGTTAGATTTTCATTTTAAACATGACCTTGACATAATTAATATAGGATGTAATGACTAGAGAATTTCTGTATATACAAAACTATATATATCAAGCATTATAAAACTACTCAATGGCTTGGGATGGCCATGGCCATCCAGGGCTGGAAGAGTAGTAGTTCTGTCACCGTATACACCACAAAGAAACCTACACATTTTATTTTCCGGGATCATGTCATAGTGGTAAGTTGAAGATAGGTAAGC